GCAGTCTGGATGCTGTCTCTGTCCCCCACTGAGCTGTGCTGTTCCTTCCTCCCGCCCCTACATCCCCAGCTGAGATGGGAAGCTGGGGGCAGGTCTGAAGGCCCCGCTGCCTGTGCCCCAGCCCTTGCATGCTGTGCCAGTCACAGCTGCTGGGAAACCCAGGCCATGTGTGTGTGTGTGTGTGTGTGCGCATGCGCGCGTGTGCGGGGGGAGGTGTGGGGGGTGAGCAATCCTTGCCACGGTGGGGAAGCACTGGCAGAGCTGTGAGGAAAGCTGTCAAGAGAGTAGAAAAGGAACAGGGCGGGTATGGGGGGAGGCAGGGGGCAGAGCCAAGAAACAGAGCATCCTGCTTGGCTGGGGCGAGCCGCAAGGGCCTGAGGCGGCTGCTTTTCCAGCTAGTAATTACACCTGTCAGATGGTGCAGACTGCACTCCCCGAAATAATGAGAGCAGCGCTTTGGGGAAGACCAGCTATTCACAGCGTGCTGAGACGCAGGGAGGGAGGAGGGTGGCTGGGGGTGCTGACAGCTTGTGCAGGCTTGTTTTGGAAGGGAAAGCTAATAAAGGAATATAGGTGGGGGAAGGGGAACCTCTTAAAGCTGCAGTCTTTTGCTTTCATCTGCAAAGAGCCTCTTGTATAAGCTGTGCTTGGTACCCGGAAAGCAGCGATGCAGGGCTGTTGTAGGCTGTGTGTGCAGGGGGAGCAGGGCAGCTTTTAGTGCTGTCATGCCCCCACCACTGATGGGGTGCATACGGATTTGCCTGTCTTAAGTGGCATTATCTTGTCCGAGTGACTTTGACCTTGATGTGGATGGAGTGGACATTGTGGCAGCAAGAAGGGCTGCACGCAGGCCTGGAGATGGGACTGTCATTTTCTCATTGCGGATAGCTGCAGGGCAAGCTTCATTCTACCTGCTCCCTTTCTCCTCCAGGCACGTGCACACACACACGTGGGATTAAAAAAAATAAAATCTGTGACTTGACTCTTGCACAATACCCTCACCATTAACACCAGTTGGGTTCAGCCAGGGGAGGGTCCTGGTGTTGTTGACTCTCTGGCTTTAAGCACAGAATACAAAGGCATTGTGCAAAACCCTTGTCTCTTTGGAGACTTACCTGTAGGGCAGATCCCATGATCACAAAGGTGGCTTTCCCAGGGTGAGGCCTGTCCCATGCATTCCAGCCAGGCTGACCCCTGTGACGTTCCCCAAATGCAGGAAACTTGACTGCATAATGTTGTGGCAATGGGGGTCTGTTTTCCTGATTTCCCCCTGGCTTGCTCCTAGGAGCAAGCCAGGCTAGGAGGCATCCAAACCCCAGGGTCTTCGGGCCCTGGGCATGCACATAAGATGCCTGTCACAGAATTGGAGAGTATCCAAAGCCCCAGACTGATGGGTCTGGGAAGAAGGATGCTTGCTCAGCAGGAGAGCTGCACAGACTTGAACAATTGAGCTCTGCTCTTGGGATTTGCCCAAGTGAATTCAGAATGGATTTGGCCCTTGAAACAAAATATATAAAAAAAAATAAATCCCAAGCTAACAACCCTTGTCTCACTGGATATCAATGCATTCAGAGGGGATCTTGAGGCATTTCCTTGGTTGTACATGACCTAGTCATCCCAGGCGACCTGAAAAGGACTCTGAAGAGCTGGTTCCTGCAAAAACAGCTGAGATAAAAAGCCACAGGCTTCCTATTGCTGCCATCAGGGTGCTCCCCATTCATTCCTAGGCAGGGGGAGCACAGAGGACAAAGGGGAGGGAGGTGGACAGTGGATGCTGTGGGATGCGTTACAGCTGGTAAAGCTTATCTTCAAACAAAAGCTGTTTGTAAATGGAGATTCAGTGTTCAGGAGTATTCATAAACAGTAGGGCTGACCTGCAGACAGACAGCAAAGGGAGCCAGGGAGTGGAAGGGAAGCCTTGGTGTTATTTATATAGCACCTACCATATGCCAGGCACTGGGCTGACATAGGATATGTCAGACCCCCACCCCAGAGAGCTTGCAGTCTCAGTATCAGCAAATAAGTATCCTGCATCCAATTATATGTGTAGCTAGAACCTCAGCTGTTGTAAATCAACTTAATGTCATTGACTTCACCGGAGTCTGCACTAACTGAGACTGCCCTTTGGAGTTTTATAGACAGGGCGGGTAGTGACTCCTATAGCTACGGTGGCCATAAGACAGCTTTCAATTGCTTGTAATTTGACAGGCAGTGGCCATTTAGGCTGAAACGCGATACAGTTCACTCTCTAATTATGCAATCCCAGGCTAATTTTTTTTTTCCCCATAGCATCTCCTGCTTCACTCAGGGCACGGGCTGGGCAGCATGTGCTGAACGCTGCTTTGCAACAGTTTCTTTATTTTTGTTGTTCAGTGCCTGGCTGTGGGTCTTATGAACTGCACAGGATTTCAAACCTGCTCTGAATTCTTTGAATGGCTGCATCATCACGTATAGGTTCAAGGGGACTGAATTAACCTGAATGGTGGCATTTCCCAATTTTTGAGGGGTCGTTTCCATTCTGGTAATGTATTAGCTGCGTGCATATAGATGTGCAGGTATGACACACAACTAAAGATGAGAATGGGGTAGCTAGAGGATGGGGTTGAGAGCACTGCCTTGAAATCAGTGCTCACTAACCAGGCCTTGCCCCACCATAGTTACGCTACTGCTAGAATAATTTAAAGGAATGGTTTATTTTAACAAATCTCTCCTTTCCCTTTCAGACCTCTCTGCAGCCCCCACTTGGCTCTCTATGTGGAGAGCATCATGCTATTTTAATACCAATAATATATGAAGGTTCCCAGGCACTTTCCAAAAGCAAGTCACTTTTCATCTCTGTTTTACAGGTAGGGAAAACTGTGGGGCAGAAAAATGCAGCGACCATAAGCAGGTCACAGGCCAGGATGAGGGACAGAGCCCAGCGTTCCTCGCACTCCCATCTAGAGCCTGCTCCCTTGCCTCCCTCCCAGCTGGCCTTTTTGGCACCTCTTCCATGCAAGGCTGTCCAAGGGCACGTACACCTGATGATGTCACGATGTACACATGACAAAAATGGCATCACACATTACACGCGCACCAGTTTGGAGGGTTTTAGATGAGTTTGCATCATTGCAATCTCAACTACATCCTGATGTAGTTGAGTTTGCAACAACACATTGCTGCTATTAGTCAGCTCACCCCACCTCCCCGGCTGTGGGAGAAGTGGGCAGGCTCTGCAGAAAAAAAAGGATCGGGCCCCTTGCTGCTTTTGCCTTCAGCAGGTGCCTGAGCTGCTGGTGGGCTGAACGGTCCCTGAGCTGTGGGGGGCCCTGGTCCTTCCCTTTGCAGTGGTTGCGCCCCCGAGGCCCAACCCAACTGTTCCCTGGGGGGCCTGGCCACTGTGGAGGGAAGGACCAAGGCCCCCTGCAGCTCAGAGACCCCTCGGCCCACCAGTAAGGTCCAGACCTCTCACCTCCCAGCTGTGGGCAGGCTCCACCAAAAAAGAAAAAAAGGAGAGGGCCACTTGCTGTAACATGATGGAAAAATAAAACCCCTAAATTGAAACAGTGGGTTTCAATTAAAAACCCACCATTTCAATTTAGGGGGCATAGAAGACTAACCCCCGTCATGTATACAAGTGTCCCAAGTGCTTGGGACCACACACTGCTGAGGCTTCATATGATGCCACAGAGCAGGCATTATTGTCCCCATTTTGCAGATCGAGCAGGCCTTACCTGGATTTACACCATTTTATACCACCCAGGAACTGGCCCCAACTCAGCACTAGGCTAATAAGCAGTGGGTGACTGGGGCATCAGCCTGAGGTGCTCACTTAGATGGGACACATGAACGATAGCAGCCAGCCCAGCCCCTGACCCTGCTGCTCAGGTCACAGACCTTGGCTTTTGCTCCTTTGCAAACAAGGATACACAAAAAGGCAGTTTCATATTGTGAAGCTAAACCAGGAGTCCTGTCTCCCTTGGCCTGAGTGCGAGATAGCTGTCCCTTCACTGCAGACCTCGCTTCCCAGCATTTGAATCTTAGATGTTCCCCATCAGTGAGCAGCTCCTGGGGTCGAAATCTCACGTCTCCCCCAGCAATGCCGCCCCAAGTGTCATGCAATGTGTTCTCCACAGAGCTCTGGGGAAGGTTATGGCCCAGCCATCACCACGGCTGTGCCTATTTATACACACAAAGCCCAGGAAGGCCAACCTGTATTGTCTTTCTGATGTGCAAGGAGAAGGAGTCCTGTAAGAACAGCCTTGAGATAAGCAGCGTGGAGTCGGGAAGTCACAGGCAACACAGAGTAAATCGTGCTGTTGCTGAAGTCGTGGAGTTCAGCGTTTCTGATTTCAGTCGAACCCAGGAGTAACTCCAGTGAACCCAGCTCCCTCCCCGTGGTGTCAGTCAGGAGCAGGTCCTTGGGTCCCTGTCTCTTCTCCCTCACCGTGTCTAAGTCTGGAGGAGCTGTTGTAGGCAATGGAGTATCTGTGGTGCAAGCACCAGGAGAACCAGCCCCAACACACTCTCTGCTGATGGGGGAGAAGGGGGTCAGGCAGGGAAAACACCCAGGCCAGAGCCAACTGGGGTCATGTTTTCCACTCTTTTTGTCTCACTGGACTGAGATTTGGCCAATAAATGCTAGAAGCCCCCAGAGACCAAGGGTGACATCCTGGTCCCTTAGAGCCACAGCAAACCTCCCACCCACCAGCAGGCCCTACCTCCTCTGCACGTGCACAGCACAGCACCATCAGCAGAGGAAGCTTCCCCCATATGTCACTGCACTTGTGTCTCAGGCCTGACTTGGTAGGATGCCCCTAGGCACAGGGAGGAGTCTGTTCTCCATGCCCTATGGGCCCTCTCTAACAGCCACTTGGTGCCAGCAGTGAGTTGCTAACATCCTTCCACTAGGATCTGAACAAAAACCCACCCCCCTTCCTCACTAAACAGTTCCAGGCTGCAGCAGCTTTTAATTAATTACTAGGATTAGTCACCAGATCTTCAGCTGGTGTAGGCTGGCTTCCTTGGCACTCTACCCATACGCAGCAGCTGAGGGTCCGACCTTAGCCACCTGACCCTTCTAGCTCTTCCTTTTGGGAGGAGGGCACGCCTGCAATGCCTGCAGTTGTGCTACTATGATGTTTGCAGCTAGTGTACAGCATGCACTAGTAGTGCCTCCCTGTGGGGAAGTGAGGAGATACAGGTGAGGGCTTCTAAACTAATCTCAACCTTTTTTAGACTCAAGGCCCCCCCTTCACAGTCTTGAGGCACCCTTTGGAAACCCCCCCCCCTCTCCCCCCAAACAGTTCTTAGTTTTCATTTGATTTTTGACTACAGAAACAATCGAGCAATTCAAGAGCACAGCAGATCAGACTGTATTTGATGCTATTGATTCCTATTTTGAATCGCTGGGTTTATCTCGTGAATCATATTTGCACACCTAACAGTGCTAACATGGCGTAGCATCTTGTGGTACTTTTGAAAGCACTGTAAGGCACCCTGAGCACCCTGGCTGAGAATCACTGTTCTGAACAGAAAGGCTGAGCTCTGCAAGCCTGCTTTGGTGTTACAAAGTGTTGCCTGGGTGCTTCTGCCTGAATCCTCTTTGCTCCAGAAGGACACCTGCTAATAGATGCATCAGGACAATAAAGGCACCCAGATCCAGGCTGGCAAACTGGAAGCAAACCATCTTCAAGGAACTGGTTCAACATCCAAAGCTCAGTGGTATGTCCATGTCCTAAGCAACTGGTTATGGGAGAACTCTGCCTTGCAGAGACTGTGGCTTCTGCCTGAAGAGTTCAGTTGTAGTGTTGGCTGCATAGGCAGGATGGAGGTTTGATTTTGGGAACGACACTTGTGTTGCCAGAGGATAAATCTCAGGACACGATGCATTCTGTTCGAGAGCTGGAAGTGGCCCTAGCAGGTGGGCTTGTCAACTGGCTGTGCTCAGGAGGATGACCCCTGGCTCTGGCACACAGCAGGCTGAGGGGAGGCAGTTTGGAAGACAATGCTTCATTCCTTAGAATAAATAGTTTGGGATAGCTCAGCACCCTCCTTCTTACAGTCTCTGGGCCTCCATGCTCAGGGTGCTTTCTGCAGCCATGTTGCTGGCTCTGCCAGGGGATGGGTGCCTGCAGGACTGCTGTAAGATCTAGCATGCACCATCCCCATTGCATCCTCAAAAAGATTAAGCTCCAGACCCTTGTGCATGCCTGGGATCCTGCTTCTATTCCTGGGGGTGGGAGGGTATTTAAAAAAAAATCCCTGCTGTCTGTAGCAGATGGCAGCCTGTGATTTCTCTGGAGAGGATGAATGGCTGAGACTACAGCTTGGTGCAGGTGGGTGGAAAGAGACAGCTGGTAGGTTCTTCTATATGCTGGAGATTGCTGTGTGTTGACAAGAGAAGTGGGGTGGTGGTGGTGGGGGGTGGAGCTGATCCTCCCAGTAGGGAGGTGGCTGCAATACGGAAGATGGCCCTAGCAAGGCTGTAATTGCTTAAGATGAAATTAGGCTCTTGTGTTCTTATTCTGGGGCTTGTATACTGCTCTGGGAGGGGGGAGATTCAGTCCAACAGATTGCTACTCCTTTGAGATCCCCACTGGGTTGGGGAGGGGACTAGCGGGAGAAGATGGGGTCAGGCCTGCAATGGTATGTCTCAGGGCCCAGATAGGAACACGCACCATCTAAGCAGAGGGGTTTCATGCTGGAAAAGGGTGAGAGTGATGGCAGGACCTGCTATCGGGGGATGAGTCGGAGATGGCAGTCTGGAACTGACTTTGTGGGTATGAGTAGATGAATGGGACTGAGTCCATGGAGAGCCTAGGAGCTTAGACGACCTGGACGTTGGCACTGAGCAGAACCAGCTTCTGTGTCCACTGCTTCCTTCTAGTGCAGCTGCCCAGCCCTGGGCACTGCAGTGTGCCTGGCTGATTTAGTAGCCTTCTTGCTCAGAGCCTTAGGCTATGCTCTGGTGCCTGTCATTGGGGCTGGGCCTGGGGCTGATGTGTGCCTGCTCTATCAGCTACGGCTTTGAAGCTGCCATTGCGGCTAGGTGGATTTGTGCTGGGGTTTTCAGGAGGGACCTTAGTCCTCCCTGGAAGTCTCAATGCTGAACATGGGGGGTGACAGCACTTAGGGTCTGCAGCTCTCAGATGAGCAGACAACCATCCGTAGGGGTGACACCTGCTGACCTTGGCCTCTGGGTCCCACCAAGGTAGAAGAATGACTGGCTCAGTCCTAATGGACCTGATCATACAGAGATGGTGCAGGTTTTTTGTAGGCCCTCTGTGGCCTAAGATGTCTCCTGTATCATCCCACTTGACAGGCTGCCCCATGACCATGCCCTTCTCTTCCTCTTCTACACCCCCACCCCCCAGCAAGGAACAAGGAACTTATAATCCACAACCTGAAGCACTGTCCTACAGAAGAGCAATCAGCCCATGCTCAGACCCATAGCAAGGGGGGGATCTGACAGTCCAAGGGCCAAGCCAGTTCTGTGTGCTGGGGCTGGGGATGTGAGGCTGATGCAGTGTAGATGGGGCCTCAGAGTGAAAGATGACAAGAGAAGCAGACATGGACAGAGACAGGACAGTAAAGTCCTGATCTACCTCTGATTGTCACTGAAATGATGCCAGTGCCCAGGTATCAGAGCTAGCTGGCAGCTTCTCCCACAGCTGTAACAGCACAGCAGCCCCCTTTTGATGGCATTTTAGTGATCGCAGGGTGTTTGAGATAAGTGTCTAGGTTCTTCACACACTGTGAGGTAGCCCAGTGCTATTATCCCCATTCTACAAATGGGGAACTGAGGCCCAAAGACCAGATGACTTGCCCAAGATAACACAGGGAGCCTATGATGAAGCAGAAACTTGAACCCAGGTGTTATAAGTGCCAGGTTAGCACTGTTAGCAGTGAGCCAGCATCCTGTCTGGCTTATGGCCTCATCCTTTCCCACTGCCATAGCGAGCGATTTCTCCAGTCTGTTCTTGTTTAACTTTTGATGTGCTTTCATCCATGCATATCGCATCTAGGACAATGGGACCAGGATCCCCACTCTGAGACATTCAGAGCCTGCTGTAAGGGATGTAATCACTACATTCATCCTCTTTTCAACAAGCATGGAAGCCTGGAAGTTTTGAAACTTCTCTAAGTTTGTGGAGGTGGAGGCTTAGGATGGAAAGGACTTGGTCTCCAATTGCTCAGCAGGCATTAGCACTGCCTCTAAGCTTCAAGATCCTGGACATGAACATACTTCCTTTGATAAAGCATATGCAGTTCCCTTTGAGAATAGGGAATTCCTGCCCCAGCACAGAGAGGGGGAGGCTGTGTGTCAGTGGAAATGGGGGCTATGCCTGCAGGAGGTGTTCTCTGCTCTGTCCCAGCTCACCCAAGGGGTGCTGTACTGCGGGTGGTGCCCTGTTTTGACGAATCCTTATAGCCAGGACCCCAGAGCGAGTTCCTCCAGTACCTCCTCAAAACACCCAGAAGGGTAGCACTGACTGCAGCGTGTCATGCAATGATGCTAAGACTTAGCAGCAGACTGCACGGCTGTGCTTTTGTGTTTGATCTGAGAGTGTATTGAATTATTGATGCTACAGTTACAGGAAACTGTAAAGCCCATAAATCTGCTTTTCAAAGCCTTGACATCTATAACTGTGGCAGCACAGGAAAAAGCCGGATTCCAACTTGTTTCAGATCCTGATCACTCAGAAGAATTCAGTCTGGCTCATAAAATCTCCTCTGGGATGGGGGGCGGAAG